TCTGATCAGGAGGTTTTGAGGAGTGTGTAACCACCTCTTAATTGCTGGTGTTCCCAGGTTCACCCTGACCCGGGGTGGTATCACCTGTTAGGGTCCCAGCTATGGGCAAATAGTTAACCCGAAACTGAGGTAAAAAGCATTATAAAATATTACCAGCAATACGTTTTTTAAAAAATAATATTACCAGCAATACGTTTTTTAAAAAATAATATTACCAGCAATACGTTTTTGAAAAAATAATAACAGCTGAGGAAAAAAAAAAATTAACAGAAATAGATTTTTGATGAAACAAAAATATTACCAGGAAAAAAAATTGTCGGCATTAAATGACCAATTGAGGTTGATATGCTGTAAAACAAAACAAAGTAAAACAAACCAGATCTGCTGGGAAGAAAGTTTGTTCACTGTGTGCTGTCAGATCTTTTTTCACTTCAGAATCCATCTTGCAGGTTTTTAATTGTACCATTCGTCCGTGCATTGAATATTGCCACCATGTCTGGTCCGGTGTTCCTGCTATATATCTCGAGATTCTCGACAAAATCCAAAGAAGAGTCTGTAATGTTATCGGTCCTGACCTGGCATCTCGACTTGAATCACCTTTCCTACCGCTGTGACATGGCTTCCCCCTGTCTTTTCTATAAATATTTTCATGATAATTGCTCTAATGAGCTTTTCTTCTTCTTACTTACCATTCTTACTACAGCCACCACGATACCTCAGAGTCTCTATGAAGTCCTAACTAGTTCCCATATATACAATTTGTTATTCAACTCTCTCCAACAAATTTTACATATGGGGACTAGTTAGGAGTTCATAGAGACACTGAGGTATTTTGGTGACTGTAGTAAGAATGGTACGTAAGAATGTGTTGTTTTAGTGTAAGGAACACTGTGGTATGTTTGGGTCAGTAACTGTGACTAACTAGATTTAATTATAAGACAGAAGACCGGCCTTATCGATCCCACCTTTTTGGCCTTGTGCCACATTTTTGTGTTTTACAAAATAAATATTGCTTTCCTCTTTGACACCTCATCCACAGGATTTGGTAACTATATCTCATCGTGTTCCACTATGGAATTAGCTAAATGTAACCGTAAGTTACATTCTCATAGTTTCTTTTCTCGCACTTCTCGCACTACTCGCCTGTGGAACTCTCTTCCTTTTTTTTGTTTGCCTAACACCTACAATCTTCAAAAATTTATATGCAGCATCAATCGCCATCTTCTGACTTCCTGTATCCCGTTCTTTTATTGTCCTTTCCTTCGTGGGCTACTTACCAGGTGTTTCGTGCTCAGTAAAGATATTATTCAAAATATCCAAAAGTGCTGCATTTATATATTTTTTGTAAGTGGTGATCATGCTTTATTTTGTACACGCACAGAAAGTAGTAAACATTATTTTGACGTGAAATCTTAATTTCACCTTTTAAAAATCCGTGTGAGCATTACATGACGAGCGTCATTACCTGTATCTGTATGGAAACAGAATTTTATTAAATTTTATATAAAACAGCTTTCAGGCTATATTTTATTTATATAAAACTACCTTCAGGGTATATGTATAAGGTGTGTTATGAAATGTAAAGGGATATTGTGTTTATGCTTGGGTTCTATTCCCAAGCTGCCCAATTTTATAGATGCTATATACAAATTAAATAGTCTGTATTCCAAAATCCGAAAAAAAATCTGTAAACCGAAGCACTTCCAATCACAAGAATTTCGGATAAAGGATTCTCAGCCTATAAAACGTTTAGAGTAATTCTTTATCAATTACTATTAGGTTGTCACACATGAAATGACGCACTTTATAGGAAATGAATAAAATGCTTCTGAAATTTGAAATAACTAATTTATTTACTTGAAATAGGCACCATATTGATAAATGACTCCAACGTATCTCTAAATTCTTGATCCCATCTTTGAAAAAAATTCTCATCCTTTGATGTGATAATCAGTTCAAATTCTTTGATTACCTCTTCCTGGTTGGAGAATGTTTCACTGCATATAAAAAGCTCAAAATGCTTAAATAAGTGATAATCAGTAGGAGAGACATCAGGTGAATATGGAGCATGAGGTGAAATTTCGCAATTCAGGCTATGTAGCTTTTGAAAAGTTGACTGAGAAGTGTACGACCGTGCATTGTCATGCAGCAAAACTGGGCCTTCCCTATTCACAAGTCTAGGTTACTGTTATTGTTTTCCCTTGAGGCGAGAATGAATAATGAATAACCCCTTTGAAAGACCACCATATAGTAACCATTAACTTTTTAGGATGCAGTGTAGGTTTTGGGTATTGTTTTGGTGTTTCACTTGCATCTAACCACTGGCCTACCCTCTTACTGTTGTCAAAGAGTATCCATTACTCATCGATGCAAAAATGTTTCTTTTTCCCAGTTCGTACTCATACAGTAGGATTACTTGACATTGTTTTATTGTAATTATTTTCATTGGGTTTATGAGGAACAATATATTGAAAAGAAAAATGACTTTGAAAGAAAAAGAGTAAAGATATTTTTTTATATATTAAGGAGGAGGTAACTTCGTTAGACGACCGGATCAACAACCAACCAAAAAAATTTCATGTGTGACAACCTAACATGGACAGCCATTTTCGAGCAGTAGGTAGCATGATCAAAAGATTCAAGGTCATTTTTGTAGTAGGTGCTTCAGCTCCTTTTACTAAAGAAGACCATATGTATATATGTTATATATATAATATATATATGTTAGAATGTCGAACTGAACCCTTTATTTCGCTCACTGGGGAAGATTGTTCTAATTCCACGTGCCATGTTTAATGGATGTCAGTTATCACCTGTTAATTCCCATCGCCAAGTTCTCCACTGCCTTAATCGGGTATTGAACTCACACTCTTTGGGTCCTTTCACTGGATCAAACTAACGCCTTTATCCACTGTGCCATGTGTCCTTGAGGACATCTGTGTATGAATTTCTGGGTATTATAAACTAATGTCATCAGCAACCATTTTTCCAGTGATCACATTGCCAAAACGTTGTAATAAATATGGCGACAAAGATGAGGACAATAGTCTGAATAATGTAAATAGTGTATATAATACCTCATCTCAGAAATATAGAGAGATTCTAGTCTTGGTCTAATATTATCACAGATGACAGTATGATTATTTTATATTTCTAATTTATTTATTTGAAAAAATTCTTATGAACGTTTCCTGTTTCAAAAGCAAAAGATGTTTATACGTATGACTTTTCCTTAGTCAAAATCGCCAATAGTTTAAAATCCTGACAACGTTACTTTCCGCGGAAAAATTCAAGAAGGATTGCACTTAATTACTGTTTATGTGAGTTGTTTTGTAAGAGAGAGTGTGTGAGTGAACAAGTAAGAACGAAACAAGACAATCCTTTTAAGAAACGTTCTTTTCCTTTTAAAATGAAACGTGCCGTTCAGAAAGATCAAACGGGCCGCAGTTTGCCGATGACTGCTATAAACCATTTCGTAAATACTAAAAGTAAAGTTTACCGGCTGAGATTATCGACAGCCTTATTAAAGAAAATTATCTCTCAGGGAAAACACTTTTTAACCTGGTCCTCCTTACCTTTAGGCTACAGATATCCTTACGACGATTAATGCACATTTTTTCAAATTAATAATCAAGTCTTGTCTTGTTGTATAATCTTCGAACTCTGTGTAATTAATATTAACCACTGAATTAATTGCGTTCACAAGGAATGAGATTCTGTTAAAATTAATCTTTGCTGTGGAAAATAAATGCATTTTTCATCATTATGCTACGGCCCTATTCATGTACCTGAGTCGTGAGCTTGGATTATTCAGGTGTATAGTCACGGCAGTGTGAATTCTGTGCGAACTGGATTCTTTGCACTAACAAAGGTTATACAGGTGGTGCAATAGCAGCTCAGAACGATAAATCGTCGAGCCGGGTTCGAATTGCATTCACGTTCGCAGCAAAGATATGAATCTGTCTCTTCTCTCCCAGCTATGGTTTAAATAGTAAGACAATTCTAAACTTGGTTGGCGACCAGTCTAGAAGTGGAAACGGTTGGGCATAAAGATAACATCTTCATCCCGTGGAAACAACGGCTGAAACACCGACAGTTGAAGTGTGCGGGGCTTGGGAAACACTAAGAAAGGTCAGCGAGGCTAAATATCCTATTATAATTGTCTGTTACATCCCTTTAGTTCGCACGACCATTACGCCCTGCCAACATTTCATAAATAATGGACTATTCCATTTTGATCGCGTGGAAAGACTGGGAAAAGACATGACTTGGTTTCGGTGAGAAAATAAATGTAAGAAGAGAAGATAGAAGTGTTTCACGGGTTTTTCAGCGAAATAGGAAGATTTGTCAGTTTCATATCTTTTCATTTGTACCCACTTCTTAAAATATATATCACGTAACAGTTTAGTACTCTTTCTTTTGTTTCTAGTGAAATTTTTCTATTTCTTATTACTCTTCTTAAATTTGGAATGCTCTCTTGGCCATCCCAATATGCCTTCGGATTTCAGTGTCGCTCTTTCTGGCCTCTGTTCGAAAACTCAGATATTTAAATTTCTGAACTTGTTTGATTTTGGTATCTCCAATCTGTAATTCGCAATTTGGGCGCGTCCTTTTGCTAACAACCATACATTCTGTCTTCTTCGTTTAATCCTTTCTACTCATGTTCATTCACTACCTTCTGTGGCAGCTTTTGTAGTTTCCTTTCTGCGTCTGCGGGAAGGGTTAATTTTTGTTGTACTACTTCTGACCCTGAAAATACAGCGTATCCTGCTGTTTAACCCATACCTGGGGGAGGGATGGAGTCATACCTTTCTCAAGTGCATTAGTGTGAAGTTGAACACAGCAGAGAAGGTCGGATTTTGAACTCGGCTTGCCGATTCCATTATCCGCGCCGATAACTGTTACACTACCGGCACGTTCATAGCGAGATAATTCGTTTCAGTTCAGTATGGGGTTAAAACACACAGCATTAGTGTCATTCGTGTGACGCTTTAACCAACTAGAGATAGATAGATAGATAGATAGATAGATAAATAGAGAGATAGAAACAGACTGAGAGACAGACAGACAGACAGACAGACAGAACGACAGATAGATAGATAGATAGATAGATAGATAGATAGATAGATATGAACAGGATGAGATAGATAGATAGATAGATAGATAGATAGATAGATAGATAGATAGATGAATAAGAACAGACAGACAGACAGATAGATAGATAGATAGATAGATAGATAGATAGATAGGAGGAAAAGTCAGAATCTTATACCAATAGCATCTCATGCAGGCGGACAGACGAGGACAGACAGACAGACAGACGGGGATTGATAGTGAGGAGAGATAGGCAGGTAAGCAGGCAACCTGACAGACAGAAGCTGGTATCAATAATATCTCTGACTGAGATAGACAGACAGACAGTCAAACAGAGAGGATGAGGCAGACAGACAGAAGCTGTTGCCAACAATATATCATAGACAGCAACAGACAGACAGATAGTGAGGTTGAACAGGCAGGCAGACAGACAAACATATAGATGCTAGTATCAATAATATCTCAGACAGAGACAGACGGACAGAGAGGAGGAGAAAAAAGGCAGACAGAAGCTGGTGCCAATAATATATAGAAAGGGTCAGTCAGATACACAGACAAGTGGGACAGTCAGGCAAACAGATAGATAGAACCTAGTTCCAATAATATCTCAAATAGAGACAGACATCGACAGAGTTGGACAATGTGGTTAATATCTCATAGGCAGAGACAGACGAACAGACAGACAAAGACTGGCAGACAGACAGAAAGAAAGAAGACAGAGAGTTAAACAGACGGTCATGTAGAAGTCAGACAGACACAGTTTCTTAGTATGAAAAAAAAATGAAATGGTTAGACACATGGTGAAAATGCTTTCATCAATTTTCGCCATGTTTATTCGTTGACCCGATTCACTTTGCACGAGACCTGGTTTTCTACTCGTGATGAACGACATTTATTTGTACAGTTGCCAGATTTTTTTTCACTTCGTTTGTTGATAAAAAGGCTAAGATATGTCTGGAATTTGAGGCATTATTTTCATTTTCTTTGGTGTGGTATTTCCTGCTCCCCCCTATCCCACACCGGCGTCATCCAGACTTTATTCCCACCACTTATTCGATCTTCTCTGCTTGAGGCTTTCTTTTGGAAATTCGCAACATTCTTCTTCCCGGTTATTCCCAGTTTTCTTTCATTAATCATTCTTCTTTACCAATCCTTTTTCTTTGCTAACTCGTTCACTCCCCACCCACTTCACTCTCTCTCTCGCTAACTTTTTCATTCTTCCCTTTTTTCTTTCAGAAGTTTTTTTGATCATTTCCTTGTTTTTATTTCTTTCTTTCTATTTATTTATTATGAATATTTTTTCTTTGATTCTTTTCATTTTTATTTCTCCTTCATTTTTTCCTTCTTATTTATTTTCAGAATTTTTCTTTTCGATCATTTTTCAGTTTTAATTTCGTTCTTTAATTTCAATACTTTCGTTCTTTCTTTCTTTCTTTCTTTTTTTTCTTCTTTCTTTCTTTCTTTTTTCTTCTTTCTTTCTTTCTTTCTTTCTTTCTTTCTTTCTTTCTTTCTTTCTTTCTTTCTATTGTCTTTCCCATATCGTTCCACTCTTTCTTTCTTTCTTTCTTTCTTTCTTTTTTTCTTTCTTGTCATATATTTATTTATTTCCTTCATCCTTTTTCGTTATTTCTTTCATTCTTTAATTTCAAAACTTTCTTTCCATCCTTCCTTCTTTCCTTATTATCCTTTTTCCTTTCATTTTAAGATTTTCTTTCTTTCCTTCCTTTTATATATATATATATATATATATATATATATATATATTGAACAATAAAAAATATTAACACATTGGGTTATAGATTAATATTCCTTCGTTTTTTTTATTATTATTTCATTTAGATTCCTCATATCTATCTATCTATCTATCTATCTATCTATATATATATATATATATATGATAAAAACATAGTTTTAAGATATGCCATATTTGTGGGTTGAAGTGGTCAGTATCAGGGATAGAGCGTCTTTTACACCAAAACGTGTGTCTCATTCGTCTGGCTCCGATTCTCTCTCTTTCTCTCTCTCTCTGTGTCTCTGTCTCTCCCACAAACACACTGTGCGTGCGTGTAATCTTTCATTCTAATCTGAGTCAGCCAAAGAGAGTATACGCTCTCCTGCAAAACGCATATTTAAGAAATTGTCTACTTTACCTCATCATCTTCATATATATATATATATATATATATATATATATATATATATATATATATCCGATGCGATGAGAACGAAAGTAATATATAAATTCCAACGTTCACACCATTAATCCAAAAGAGGGCTCGATACCAATAGTAGAGCGATAATTATTTATTTATTATAATTTTATCATATAGAGAAAACCATTTTCGATTCTCACCCGTCGAAGTGCAGTTGAAATGCACTGAAACCAAGTTGCATCTTTGTAATGAATAAAATGGATTTGTCTATATGATAAAAATATAAGAAATATATATATATAGAGAGAGAGAGAGAGAGAGAGAGAGAGAGAGAGAGAGAGATCATGACTAGTGTCAAAGGTGTGCCTGGAGATCCAATTTTCATTTCTAAGAGAAAAAAACAAACTATTTATCATGTTAAAACAATGCCATACAAAAATCTTCTAGTTGTCTCACTTATGGAATATAGTGTGAGAGGCGAAATTGTAAGCTTGGGTGGGATTGGTCGTTAGGTACAGTCTGAGGGTGTTAGGTGTGTTGAACTCGAGTGTTGTTTTCATTCAGGTGGAGGTGACGATGCCACCAGTAATAATCAGGTCAAATGAGAGAGAGATTCCGGAACATGGAAAATGTTCCACTGAAAATGAATACGAGCGATTGAAGCCAACAACTTTGATTTGTCCGCCCAATGAGAAAAGGACTGGGTTGGAGCTTCTCGTCTCCCCCTCCGATACTTATGACACAGGGTCATACATATACTTATGACAGGGCCATTATGTTGATTGGCCCACAATTATATTGGCTTCTTGGAGGTTTTTCTTCCTCCCCTTCGATGAGGATGACACAATGTCATTGGCGAAGAATTATTATTAGCTAGCCAATCAGAGCAGTGAAATTGGGGTTTGCACCCACATAAACGAATTGACCGAATGAACAGAAGTAAGATCGAACTGATCTCGCCGCTTGTAGACTAACACTCTACCTGTTAGATGAACAGCTAAAGTCCTGTTCTCTACGCCGCTTTTTGAATTCCTTCGATCATCTGCCTTCATAAACGACTCTGGACCTTTTAGCCATAACTGCAACCGCCAGTCAACCTGTTTCTTCCATCTCAAGAATTCCTTATACGGGGAATCTTCTCCCCAAAGCCTAATGTATCCATAATCTTAATCAATCATAGTACCATATAGAAATACTACTACTAATATTGTTTTGTTTCGTTTCTTGCACAAATATCTTTTTCATTGTATATAATCATTGGGTTTTAAATAAAACTTCATATTAGGGATTTGATAGAGAAAATGAGGTATTTTGGTGATTGTGGTGTGACAGCGAAGAGTAAATATGTTGTTATGGTGAAATGAAAATTGTAAGTACGAATGGGTTAATGAGTGAGTCTAGTTAGTTTTCAGGTAGGGCTAGAGAAAAAAAAGAAGTCTTTTCCCCATCCCCACTTTTTAGCCGTTGTGGCACATTTTGTATTTCTTCATACAAATAAATATTAAAATCGAATTGGTCATGCCGCTAGTAGACCAACACTCTCCCTGTCCGATGACTGTGGTACCTCAATCAGTTAAAGTCCTGTCCTCTGCGCCGCTTTTTGAATTCCCTCCGTGAACTGCCTTCATTTAAATGCTTTTAACGACTCTCGGCTGTTTACCCATAACTGCAACAGCCAGTCAACCTATTTTATTAAACGAAGTAATTGCATGAAGTAATTAAAGTCAAATCTTCATTTTTCTTTAATTATTAGCACTTGAATTTTAAGCAAGTGAAAGATTCGCTATTACACCTGAATCTCATCTCTTTACGCTCAAAGCTCGCTGTCATACAGCATGGGACAGAAACCCATTCTAGCCGCCTTAGTCTCCTGACTAAGAGAAGAAGACTCCGACAGAAAATCTGCAACCGGGGACCTGGTTGCCCTATTCTTACACCACTAGACCATAGCAAGCAACCCTTAGAGATAAAGCATGGTAACAGTCACATGTAAAGCGCTCTTTGCATAAAAATCACCACCTCACTGGCTGGAGGGTCACCATTTATCCAGAACGATCTCGGTAGGAGGAAGATGCCATTAGAAAATTGATGTTCTAATATTGCGGATTTAAGGCTTTTACAAGTCTTTCATTTTCCCCAGACACTTTGGCGCTTTTAGACGCCCTCGATGCTAAAACGTGTTCAGGCAAAGTAATATTGTGGTTATTCAATTTGGCCACAAAGCTCTTCATCCTTGTATTGTCAAGATACCAAATGTCCTCTCTCCACGATTTACTATCCTTTGTAGCTCTAAGCAATAAAGTACCAAGGGAGCAAGAGTTAATTTTAATGTTAGAGAATATGGGGAAAACTTCTATTAAGGAAAGAACAATAAAAGAATAAGAATTTAGAAGACAGAAGGTAACAAATGAAATTGCATTTAAATTTTTAAAGATCAGAGTTGACTGGAAAGCAAGAATCTAGAATGGAATTCCATAAATAGAAGAAACTGTTAGTCTAGAAATTACAATTATATCTGATTATTACAATTGTAAAATGATGAGACTATTCCACCAATCTAGTACTGCGCTTATAAAGTCTAGGTACCATAGATAAAAGTTCATCAGAACAATTGCCATGGAAGTATTTATAGAAAAGACCATGGGGAAAGTGACTGAAGCCAAGATGCCAGGTCAGAACCAATGAAATTGCAGGTTTTTCTTTGTATATTATCAAGAATCAAGAATATAACAGTTGAAATATTTATTTGACGTTAAAACAACCAATGATGACTTGGTAAGCAAACTATATATATATATATATATATATATATATATATATATATATATATATATCATAGGTTTAATATTGGAATTAAACTTAAATTCTGCTGACCAGTTTCGAAACATAGTAATTTCTCTGTCGCGATGGAATCATATTTTTTCTAAAAAAAATAATTATAATCTAGGCTCTAGTTGTGTATCGAGCACTGTTTTTTTTAAAAATAAAAACAAAAATACTAAAGAACTTCGGATCATCAATCTAACAGTTCTTTCCTATTAAATCAACACACACACACACACGCACAGACGCACGCACACACACACACACACACACACACACACACACACACACATATATATATAAGTGGACATTGAAGTCAACACCAAGAGGCAACAGTCTGTTTTATGCTAAATGTAATCATCAGGCCATGTGCGTGTAAAATAAACAAAAATAAGTTAAATAAATTAATCCAAACAAATAAATAAGTAAACTAAGTGAATAATAAACAAATTAAACCACGAACGCACATCTCAATACAAGAAAAGATCGTGATAGCAAGCAACAATAAAATAATCAATAGTAAAGAAAAAAGTTAACTAACAACGCTATCAATAGCCAAAAAGCTGCATTCAGATCCACAATTATTCCCACTCAATATTCCTGTAGAATAATTTGAAACACAACCGTTACCGCCCACAAAAATAACCGTTGGAATAATACAATAGACTACCTACAATGCAATAGAATAGACTACCCATAATGCATCACTGACCTGTATATATAAATAGTCGAGTAAAAACACAACGCATATGGCCTGGCGATTACGTTTAGCATGAAACAGACTGTCGCCTCTGGGTGTTGACTTCAATGTCCACTTATATATATATATATATATATATATATATATATATATATATTGAAGAGAAAAGAGAAGCAGCAAACGTTTTTGGTTATAATGTGGATTTTTTAAATACTT